TTCCTGAAAAAGTGATACTTATGGAGAAATCTAGAAAATGACTATATGGTAATGAGCCTGAAGGATGGTAGGGTAGGAGTGAGGAAAAGAAAAAGAGGAAGATTTTTCAAAACAAACAAAAAAAGGTACATGAAGAGGTCCTATGACAGGAGGTGTATTAGCTTCCCATAGCTACTATAATATAGTGTCATAAAACTTTGTGGCTTTAAACAATGTGGACTTATAGTTCTGGAGCTCCAGTACCCAAAATGAGTCTTAAAGAACTAAAATTAAGGTGTTGGCAGAGCTGCCTTCCTTGTAGAGGGTCTAGGGAAGAACCGGTTTACTTGCCTTTTCCAGCCCCTAGAGGCTGCCTGCATTCCTGGGCTTGCAACCTCCCTCACCTGTCTTCAAAATTGTCAATGCCAGCCAGTCTTTTTCACCATGCCATCTACTAGGTTCTTTCTCTTCTGCTTCCCTCTTTCACTTAGGAGCCATGGGCATACCCAGATAATCCAGGATAATCTCCCTATCTCAAGGTCTTTAACATAATCCAATCAGCAAAGTCCCCTTTTCCAAGTAAGGTAACATATTCAAACTTTCCAGGGATTAGGAATGTGGACATTGTTGAGGACCATTATTATGCCTATCATGAAAGAGATCGTGTTTTATTTGAGAACTGAAAGAAGGTCAGGGAGGTTGGGGAGCAGAAAGCGAGGAGAAAGGTAATGGAAGATGAGACTGGGGAGGCAGGCAAGGACCACAGCAGACCTAACATGTCAAAAGAAGTCATCAAAGAGGTAACTCGATTTGACATTTTTATATCTCTCTGGCTACTGGATGGAAAACTGATTTTAAAATAGCAGAGGTTAAGAATAAAACATGAAGGTTAACAACAGATATTCAGATAATTAAAATTTTTCATCAGGTTACTGAAGTCATTTCAGATATTTCATTCTTTATTAGATGATTTGATGACTTTGGTTAAATATCTGCCCTAGGGTTGGTTCTGTGGGAAAGATTGAATGTTAAGATGCATGATGCATTTATACAGGAAGTGTACCAATGATAAATATTCAGTCTTTATATTGTTTTATTGATTCTGTTACTAATACTATGCATAACTCTATGCTAGAAAATTAGAAAACTTAAGGTATATGGATGACTTTATAAAAAATTTAATACTGATTGTCTTAGTCTGTTTGTGCTGCTATAACAAAATCCCTGAGACTAGGTAATTTACAAAGAATAGCAATGTATTTCTCACAGTTCTGGAAGCTGAAAAGTCCAAGATCAAAGTGTCAGCATCTGGTTTCTGGTGAGGGCCTTCTTGCTGTGTGGAAGGGAGAAGAACAAAAAGTACCAAACTCCCTCCACCAAGGCCTTTTACATGTAAGGGCATTAACCCATTCATGAAGGTTCTAAACACCTCTCAGAATACCCCACTTCCCAACACCATTGCATTGGAGATTAAGTTTCTAACACACAAATTTTGGAGGACACAGTCAGATCATAGCACTGATTATGTCTAAATCTATTTCCATTTTAAGAATAAATAGAAAAGTTAAGCCTTAGAAGCCACAGGACAAATTTTGGCTAAGTAAAATGGGAATCTTTGGGGAGATTTGTGAAGAGGAGTGACACGGTCAGTCTAGCTTTCATGTTAAAACTGGGTGATATTTGAAAGTAGATACACTCTAGGGGGCCAGAATGGAAGAAGAGAAGCTGATAAGGGAACATGGCAACAATCTAGGAGGGGTGGATCATGGTTTAGACCAGGTGGCAGCAGTGAATGTGGCAGGGGCTCATTAGATTCTTGCTGGGTCTTTAAAGGTTTTCTGATGTGAGGGAAAGAATGGTCTCAAGAATGATTCCTAGGTTTTTGGCCTGAGTAACTAGAATGATAGAGTTACCATCAGTGGAAACTGGAAGGCTGAACCTGAGGGAGAGATCAATGCCTCAGTTGAGAACATGATAGGGAATTCTGCTGGACATGCAAATGGAATGGTTGCCTCAGTAGCTGAATATGAGTTGGCAGCTAAGGAGAAAGGTTTGGGCTGGAGATACAAATTTGGCAGTCACTGGCATTTAAATAGTACTTAAAACTTTGAGGCTAGATGAGATCACCAAGTGAGAGTGTAGATTAAGAAAAGCTACAAGAACTGACTTCTGAGGCATTCAGAAGTATGAAGAGGTGGGAGATAAAATGAAGACTCAACAAAGCAAGCTGAGATGGAGCAGGGAGTGAGGTATCAAAAAAAAAAAAAAAAAGAATCTGGTGACCCTGCAGCCCTACCTTTTCTTGTCTTATACTTACGCACCTTTCAGGTGCCTGCCAAGGGATCTTTTATTCCCGCAACTTGATTAGCTGTCTCTCCTAAGTGTCTCCACAGCATCCTGTCCTTACTGCTCTCTTAGCATTTGTCACATTGTGTTAACATTGTTTGCACTAACTCTTCTCTTCCTCTACTCTGTAAGCTTCTTGAGAAATCAAGTTTGTCTTGCTCATTGAGTATTGCCAGAAATTAGCATAGTGCCTGGCACACAATAACCACTGAATTTGACTTTGCTGAGTTGAGTTTGTAAACTCAGTACTTCTCTTCTGGTTTCATACATGTTACTGGTATGACAGAGTCCACCATGATTATATAAGCCACTGGCACCATACATTCATTTATTTCATCATGCTTATTTTACTATGTAATCATTTCAATTTTTCCAACATTAATTGGTGTGTCTCATGGTTCTGATTCAGGTAGACGGGAAGGAAGAAGGAAAGTGATATGTATTTGTATATATAGGTGTTGATCGACTTACAACCTATGCAACTTAAGACCATTTGACTTTACGACCGCAATCACTAGCCACGACTGCTCCGTGTCTGGCAGCGCAAACGTTGCCCAGCTGGGCATACGACAGTGCGGACCAGCATCCGGCAGCACTACCGTCTCCGCGTGCACCATTTCAACTGTTATCCCAGACCCGGTACAGCAATTTGTGTTTTGTGTCTTAGATATTTTTCATCAAACCCCTCCCAAGATGTCTACCAAGAGGAAATTGTCTTTGTCTATGCCTCAGCCTCCCAAGAAAGCTTAAATATCTGACTTAAAGATTTTTATAACATCATTTCACAGTACTGTACATGTAGCCTACTCAACTTACGACCAAATCGTGTTATGACCGGTCTGTCGGGACCAATCGTGGTCCTAAGTCGAGCACTAGCTATGTTAAGCATACATACCAAGTTTGCCTTTCATATGTTACCTCACTTAAGCATTTAATCTTCCTCACAAATATGGGAAGGATAGTATAATTAGGTCAATTTTATAAGAGAAAAACCAAAGTTTAAGAACATTAAGTATCTTGTCTAAGGTCACTCAAACGGTAAAATCCAGGATTTAAATATCTGTAAAGCCCTTGTGTTAGACTAGGCAAATGGCCAGGCATAGCAGGATGGGAGAGCCCCTGAGAAAGGAAAGTCTGAAAAATCCCACACTCCAGAGGTCACCTGAAACATGCATACTAGACATGAGCAGAGAGAGAACTACCTATGTAGAAAGGAACTCCCCCAAACACCCCTTAAGATGCCCAGTGATCACTCATCCTGCAATTAACCTGTCAGAATGCAGCTAGCTACATGCTGAGAAGAGGGAAAGGGGTGAAGGAGAAATTCCTAAGAGATACTCAGGTGCAATAAATACAGACTTAGCCATGATAAGACCTTCCTGGGATGGTGGTAAGGAGCAAGGCTGCCATGAGGTAGAATTTGTATCTAACGACAGGCAGCACATGCACATCAACAGACAGCAAGGGAGAATCCTACAAACCTGGGGCTAGAACAGCGTGGGGACTTGAGGCAGAGCGAGAAACTAGTCAAAGACAAAGTCAGAGATTTGAGACACACACAGGAACTTAAAGAAATAGTCTGACACAGTAAAAGCAGCACCGTGGAACTCTCAGAGCTGGTGACTCAGCCTCTTCCATGCAGCCTGCTTTGCTACTGATTTCCAGCCAGACCAGCCTACCCTTCTCTTGGAGTGTATGTTGACGACCAAGCTCTGATTTTTATTTACCTTGCCCAGATTCCTATCTAAGGGGTTTGGGGAATCATGCTCTACAATGAATTTTCATCAGATGGGTTTTATTTAACCCTACATATCATGATTTACTTTCCTGTCTGACTCTGGCATAACATTATATGACAAAGAAGAAAATCAAAATATTTTTACCCCAAAACATGTTTCTGTGCCATATTTTGAAATGACCCTGCAAAGCCGTCCTTTGAGGGGGAAAATTTGCATCTGTAAAGAATCTCTATTAACATAGCTGATGTTTTTCTTCCAGGCCCTCCCAATCCTGAAGATATTAACTGAGTGTCTAGCACCTTTTAAAGGACCAGTAGAAGACATTTGTCATCTGTCGTCTCTAAGGGCAGCCAGTATGAGACCTCAAAACAACCTTGGTCTCCACAATCTTTTAATCTGAACATTTCCTTTCTACTGATCCCAGGTCTTTAGACAAATTCAACCAATTGTCAACCAGAAAATGTTTAAATTCACCTATAGTCTGGAAGCTCCCCCCACACTTTGAATTGTCCTTCCTTTCTGGACCAAGCCAGCATATTTCTCAAATGAATCTGATTGAAGTCTAATGTCTCTATGTAGAAAACCAAGCTGCAACTCAACCACCTTGAGCCCATGCTCCCAGGACCTCCTAAGGGCTGTGTCATGGGCCATGGTGATTCATATTTGGTTCAGAATAAACTTCGAGTATTTTAGAGTTTGACTCTTTTCATCAACAACTTCCTTCAATAAACTCTGCTCTTTCTTTTCCTTCAATAAACCTTTGCTTACTTTACTTCTCTTGGCCAAATTCTTTCTCTCAAGTAAGACAAGAGCCAAGAACTCCTGCACTTCCTGGTAACACTAGGGGTGTGTGTGTGCATGTGTGTGTAAAAAGTAGCTTTACAGTATGCAATATAAAATACATATCTGCTTTAAAAACATGATGATGTTACTTACTGGAAAGTATAGGAGCAGAGACCCAAAAAGGATGGTTTCCAATAGGATAAGGCCTGATGCCCTGATGCTCTGTAAAACAAAATAGAAATGTCATTATTAACTTAAATTTTTAAGCATGAAAAAATATATGTTATTGAAAAAATGTCACAATGCAGTAGGACAGCCTTCTTTGGGGGAAATTAAATAAATAAATGAAATTTGGCTAGTATTCAGGTGGGTGGACAACTACAATATGCAAAAAGACTGATTATAAAGGTGATGATAAGCTTAATAATATTGCCAGTGGCTTCATGAGGTTTAGTTCCCGAAAATTGGAATCATTAAACAGTCTAAGAAGCTAAGAACACTTTCTTGAAGGTATTTTCAATCCAAGAAATTTACAAATGAGATCTTGCCTGCATTTCTAAAATACGAGCCACCAGTACATACTGAATGCCATCCCTAAACTATTTCACAAAAACCTGTGGGATAGTGTTAGTGAATAAAACAAGCACACGCACAGGGTCTTGAGTCTCCATATCTCCCACCATACTAACATGCAACTCTTAAAACTTACAAACATAGCTTCACTATGCGCACAATATAAACCCCATTAAGTAACAGGGGTATCTCACCTTGTGAACGTGCATAAATGTTATTCTTTACTCAAAATTCAAAACAATTAGTTGATTTGATTTTTCAATAAATTTCTGAATAGTTTTCTAAACATGAATATATCTAATAACCTTAAGATAGTTTGTTAAACTTAAAATAGCATTATCTTCTCAAAACAAAATTCTTAGAACTGAAGCAAGAAATAAAAGTCCAGAAAAGGCAGGGTGCGGTGGCTCAAGCTTGTAATCCCAGCACTTTAGGAGACCGAGGTGGGTGGATCACGAGGTCGAGAGATCGAGGCCATCCTGGTCAACATGGTGAAACCCCGTCTCTACTAAAAATACAAAAAATTAGCTGGGCATGGTGGCACGTGCCTGTAATCCCAGCTACTCAGGAGGCTGAGGCAGGAGAATTGCCTGAACCCAGGAGGCGGAGGTTGCGGTGAGCCGAGATCGTGCCATTGCACTCCAGCCTGGGTAACAAGAGCGAAACTCTGTCTCAAAAAAAAAAAAAAGTCCAGAAAAATCAATCTTATTTTCTTCAATAAATTTTGCGTTAATGAATTCAAGTATCAATACACAGCAAATATATCAATTAATAGAACACACACAAAAACAGGTCATTTTAGGTATGCTGCATTATCACTAAATATAATAAAAAATGTATAGAGAAATTACATGTGGTGCAAATATCTTACTTAACAGGAAAATAATTTGAAGTAGTAACAATTCATTTTGCAATAATAAAAAATTCTTAAAGGCCAAACCACAATAGTGCATTACATTAACTAATATAATGTATTAGTTATCTAGTTATCAAATAACTATCAGATAACTAGATAGCCAGAGAAAGAAAACTCTAATTCCCCTTCCAAAACCCCTGTAGGGCTTTGTTAAACCTAGAGAATTTGTGTAGTACCTCAACAAAACTCAGGGCTTTCATTAATTTAAGAATTTGGGAATAGAAAAACAAGTCCAGTCAGTTAACAGCCTTGAGTATTTGAGTGGCTTCTTGCTATTGGTCATTATGTTAGACAGCAGATGCTTTTGGTGAAAAGAAAATTTCTCTCAGCAAGCATTTAAGTCGGTTTTGCCTGGTAGAATTTCCAAAGTGGCAAATTACATTTGCATAGTATACCTAATTATGAAACTTATTTTTAAAACTTTCCAAAAAAGACTCAAAAAATGAGAATCCAAAATATTATACATGATTGTAAAATCATTTGTACACCATTGGTTGACTGAACCAGGAGACACGAAAAAAAAAAAAAAAAAGCTGCAAGGTACAGTGAAAAAGAGACTCTGGAGTTAACTCCATCTCAGTTTGAATTATGAAATAATCACTTTGGTTTGGGCAACCTTGAACTTCAATGATTTCACCCATATAACACATATCTTAACCTTTACCTTATTAAATCTGACATTTATTAAATATGAGGTATTGCAAAATGGCTGGCATTGTACCTGGTACTTAATAAGTAGGTACATATTCTTCAAGGTAGAGAACAGCATCAGGATGATGAACTTGAAAACTATGTAAGATTATATCGCTAACAAATTATGTTTAATGTTTGGGATCCAAAATGACCCAGGAGGAGACAAATGCCTTGAGTGGGGGACCCAACAGCTCTTTCCCAGGGCTGTGGTCATGCTGTGGTTTGATGGCTTCTTCCATTTTGCAATATCTCCTGATATTTTAGGTCCAGTGGGCTCGGTAGGAATGTCACAACCATTACTACCACGTAATAGCAGCAGCAGTACTGCTTTTATATATTAGCAGATAATCTGTCTCCTTTTCATTTTTAATTGTTGAACAATCTTCTTAAGCATTCACTGTCTTGCTCCTGGCTAAGGAGAGGAGCCCATAATTTCAGATGATAAATTAGAACTCTGACAAGAGGTTCCATACCAAAATGTAAGGCCTGTTCAAAATGTGCACTGTTTCCTTTCAAAATATCATTTGGAAGAGTTGGCTTTGTGGTCTCACAGAATGAGCTGGAAACTGATAGTGAGACTTCAGGACAGAGAAGAGACCCATGCTCCCCAAAATATTTCCTCCACTGTCTTATTGGTACTAGAATATCTTTTAACTGGCACACAGCCTTTTATTTTATGCTTGGTTCCAAGGATTAATATGCAATTTGGTAAGTAATACATTGACAAGTTCAAAGTAAAATATAGGAGGCTTGTTTAGAGTCTCAGTGGCAGGGTAAGGACAGAAAAGACACTAAGTGTGTATAGAGAGAGGGGGTTTGAAAACTGAAGATGGATGAGAGAGGTAATGAGCAAAATAACAGAGGCCAAGGAAAAAAAGTCATCTCCTTCACAGTTATGCCTGAGATAGAAATAGTAGTATAAAATTATTTTTAACCGGAGATAACTGGGAAATTTAAAAAAACTTAACTGACACTATTTATAAAAAACACATACACACAAAACAACACTATACATTCTCTCTATCTATCCAGGCATACCTCATCTATATATCTGTCTGTCCATCCGTCCATCTGTCCATCCATCCATCCATCCATCCATCCATCCATCCATCCACACCTCAAAAATATTTCAGGTTTGGTTTCAGATCACAGCAATAAATCAAGTATCAAAATAAAGTGAATCACATAAATTTTGTGGTTTCTCAGTGTATATAAAAGTTATGTTTATACTATAGTATTGTTTATTAAGTATGCCATAGTATATGTCTAAAAATAATACTCAAAAAATACTTTATGGCTAAAAAACACTAATAATCATCTGAGGCTGCAGCAAGTCCTAATCTTTTTGCTGGTGGAGGGTCTTGCCTCCATGTTGATGGCTATTGACTGATAAGGGTGGTGGCTACTGAAGCTTCAGATGGTTGTGGCAATTGCTTAAAATAGTAAACAATGAAATTTGCTGTACCAGCTGACTCTTCCTTTCATGAGAGATTTCTCCACAGCATATGATGCTGTTTGATAGCATGTTACCTACAGTTGAAGTTCTTTCAAAACTGGAGTCAATCCTCTTAACTATAATAATGTAATATTCTAAATCCTTTGTTGTCATTTCCACAATGTTCATAGCATCTTCACTAGGAGTGGATTCCATCCGAAGAAGCTACTTATTTGCTCATCCATAAGAACCAACTCCTGATCCATTCAAGTTTTATGACATTATGGTAACTCAGACCCATGTTCAAGCTCCACTGCTAATTCTAGTTTTCTTGCCAATTTCACCACATCTGCAGTTATTTCCTTCATTAAAGTCTTAAACCTCTTAAAGTCATCCATGAGGGTTAGAATCAATGTTTTCCAAAGTCCTATTAATGTTGATAGTTTGATCTCCTTCCATGAATCATAAATGTTCTTTATGGCATCTAGAACGGTGAATCCTTTCCAGAAGGTTTTCAATTTACTTTGCCCAGATCCATCAGATGAATCACTATGGCAATGACTGCCTTACAAAATGTGTTTCTTAAATAAGAAGATGTGAAAATCTAAATAACTCCTTAATCTATGGGCAGCAGAATGAATGCTGTTAGTGGGCATGAAAACAACATTAATCTCCCCTCTATCTCCATCAGAGCTCTTGGGTGACTGTGTGCATTGTCAATGAGTAGTAATATTTTGAAAGGAATCTTTTTTGAGCAGTAAGTCTCATCAGTGGGCTTAAAATATCCAGTAAACCATGCTATAAATAGATGTACTATCACATCAGAACTTTGTTGTTAACATTTCTACAGCACAGGCAGAGTTGGTTTAGCATAATTCTTAAGGGCTCTAGGATTTTTGGAATGGTCCATGAGCATTAGCTTTAATTTAAAGTCACTAGCTGCATGTTCCCCTAACAAAAGGGTTAATCTTTCATCTGAAGTTTTGAAGCCAGTAATTGGCTTCTCATCTCTAGCTATGAAAGTCCTAGATGACATCTTCTTCCAGTAGAAGGCTGTTTCATCAATAGTGAAAATCTGTTTCATGCAGGTACCTTCATCCATGATCTTAGCTAGCTCTTCAGGATGACCTGCTGCAGTTTCTCCATCAGCATTTCCTGATTCACTTTACACTTTTATGTTATGGAGATGGCCACTTTCCTTGCACCTTATGAACAAACGTCTGCTAGCTTCCAGCTTTTCTTCTGTAGTTTTCTCAACTCAGCCTTCACAGAATTGAACAGAGTTAGGTCCTTACTTTGGATTAGGCTTTGGCTTAAGCCAGTGTTGTGGCTGCTTTAATCTTCTACCTAGAGTATTCAAACTTTGTATCAGCAATAAGGCTGTTTTGCTTTCTTATCATACGTGTGTTCACTGGAGTAGCATTTTTAATTCCTATCAATAATTTTTCCTTTACATTTACAAATTGGCTACTTAGTGCAAAAGTCCTAGTTTTCAGCCTATCTCAGGCTCCACTACACCTTTCTTACTAAGCTTAATCACTTCTAGCTTTTGATTTAAAATGAGTGATATGTGACTCTTCCTTTCACCTGAACACTAAAGGCCAT